CAGCGAAAGTTGACACAAATACTTTATTATGGTATAGTATTCAAATATATGCCTGAGAAACACATAATATTGCCCCTTTAAGAAAATACATGTTTATGTTCAGGCTGTGGGATAATCATCTCTCCGCATGAAAAAAGTCATATTAAAAGTTTTATTTTGTAATTTTTTTTTACAATCATCTGGAGACCCTTCTGTTTGTATTCTTAAATATTATATAAACTGTGCAGAGCAAGGAATCATGTCAACCGTTCATGTTGCTGTATCAGGTTTCTTCTTAAAAAAGACAAGACGCCAGAAGAGCAAGGTGAAACTGCTACTGTGCCAATCCCACCTGATGCCAAGGAAACCACATCCAGCTCATCATCTCAGCCTGCTCCAGCTCCTGCTCCTGTTCCTGCTGCTGCTCCTGTTCCTGCTGCTGCTCCTGTTCCTGTTCCTTCTGCTGCTCCTGCTCCTGCTCCAGCTCCAGTTCCTGCTCCAGCTCCTGCTCCAGCTCCAGTTCCTGTTCCTGCTCCTGCTGCTGCTGCTCCTGCTGCTCCTCCTCCAAAATCTGTGCACATTGAAAACTCAATTCCCGACGAGCCAATGGGAACGCTGCCTGCGCCAACTCCTGCCACGCCTGTTGAGCAGGAGGCCATTCCAAGCCTTCAGCCCAAAGCCCCGCCCACAGGAAGTGAAACACTAACCAAGGATGGAGAAGAAGCAGCGCCATCAGGACTGGACGACGACCCTTCCTCCTCCTCTGCTCCTTCAGCTCCCTTCATTCCTTTTTCCGGAGGTGGTCAGTGCCTTGGAGGCCCAGGAGGAGAAACTGGTGCACACTGTCCATCCTCATCATCATCTTCATCTCTGTCGGCTCTTGGTACAACAGTAGAATCCCCCAAAGCCAAGAAACCCAAACCCAGCCACAGTTCTAACACCAAGGTGAGCCCCAGCATCACAAAATAAACAAGTAAAACCACAAATTATATCAGGAAGATCTGATCATTTTCTTTAGAATTAATATAGCTGAGAGTTACAGAAAAGGATTATATCTGCTTTGATATACTAATTATTCTAAAATTTAAGTTTTGATTTATGATGAAAATATTGAAAAAGTTCTTAAAGTGAAAATGAATTTTCTTTACATGCAACAGTAGGGACGTAATGATTCACTCAGGCCCCAATTTGATTATCAGTTATAAGTTAACGATTACGATTAGTTTCATTTTTTAAACAAAATGAATCTTCGTCTTTTTATAACCAAATCTGTTTATTTTTTTAACATCAGCATTTTTGTCCTTGTATCAAACTCTGTCTGTTGTCTAATAACAGAATATAACTTCAAAATAAATAAAAATGTCCTCAGAAATCTTGTGACCAAAAGTTATCAAGTGTCAAACTGAATTTGTCTTAACTTACTGCTAAACAATAACAATGAAACTGATTCATTCATTTTTAATCAGTTCACTCCTGTTATTAGCTGTTATTATTGATTATTAATCGAGTCTCTTTTAATTGTTACATCAAGAGATAATAAAACCATGAAATACTGCAAAGGTTTTTGGTCTAAAAAGCATCAAGCAAGAAATGTTTTTTTAAACTTGAAACTGAAAGTTTGTTTTTGGTCTGACTGATAAATAATGTAAGTTTTTGTTTGTTTATTTTATTTGTATCAGTGTCAAACCAATGCCAAGTTACAGGACCAGGAAATGGATCATGTGGAGGAGTTTTTGGAGGTAAATCTGTTTACATTTTTCAGAAGTCACTCCTCTGTAATTAATTTAATTTATTGAGTTTATCAGCTTTTACAGATATGGGTTTCCCAACAGATAGTTTTTTTGTTTTCAGAAGCTTTTGTTACCTGCTGATGAAGACGGTGAGGGTGTTTGCTTGTGTGTTTGCCTGTTAGCTTAAAGGCACAGTGTATAGGATTTTGTCAATTCTTTTAGCCGAAATTGGGATAATCACTAATGACAATAATAAAAAACATGTCTAATCATTGCAGACAAAGACCTTGTTTTATTATTTTACCTTATAAAAAGATGTTTATATCTCCATGGTCGCGGGTCGCCACACAGGCAGCCGCCATCTTGCACCGCCATCTTGCACCGCCATCTTGTCTACGAAGGCTCATGAAGGACAAACTGCGGTGGCGGCGTCAAAAACTGTGTTAGTTGTAATACTATAAATGTAATATTTG